ACTAACCTGCCTCTCAAAATCAAAACAAATAAGTTGTTGGAGGAGGAGTATTGTGCTTTATAGTGTTATTACAGCGTCATCCTGCATGGTGAGGCTGTGATAGTGAGTGTTAGAGGTCACTGTTACTTCCTGTCACCTTCACCACACTTGTGTTGATGGTGAAGTTATAATAGTGGTAGAGATCACTTATTTCCTGTCACCTTCACCACACTTGTGTTGATGGTGAAGTTTTTAATAATGCTTGAAGTTTGTTACTGTCACCTTGACACCTGGAGTGTGTTTCTGGGGGGTCAGCGCCCCCGCGGCCCGGTCTGTGACCAGGCTGCATGGTGGATCAGGGCCTGGTCAACCTGGCTGTTACTGTTGGCTACACGCAACTCGACGTAGGAACCACAGCCCGGCTGGTCAGGTGCTGACTTTAGGTGTCTGTCCAGTGACTTCTTGAAGACAGCCAGGGGTCTTGAAGGCAGCCAGGGGTCTTGAAGACAGCCATGGCGTAATAGCGCACAAAATGCGTGCTAAAGGAATAACAGGAAAAGTCGGTCGATGGATCTATAAATTTCCTCACTAACAGAACACAGAGAGTAGTCGTCAACAGAGTAAAGTCCGAGGCAGCTACGGTGTAAAAGCTCTGTTCCACAAGGCACAGTACTAGCTCCCATCTTGTTCCTCATCCTCATATCCGACATAAGACAAGGATGTCACCACAGCACCGTGTCTTCCTTTGCAGATGACACTCGAATCTGCATGACAGTGTCTTCCATTGTAGACACTGCAAGGCTCCAGGGGGACATCAACCAAATCTTTCAGTGGGCTGCAGAAACAATATGAAGTTCAACGATGAGAAATTTCAATTACTCAGATATGGCAAACCCCGATGAAATTAAATCTTCATCAAGTCAAAACAAATTCTGGGCCACAAAATAGAGCGAAACACCAACGTCGAAGACCGGGAGTGATTATGTCGGAGGATCTCACCTTCAAAGACCCCCTAACATTGTATCAATTGCATCTGGGTAGAAAAATGACAGGATGGACAATGAGAACCTTCCAAAACTAGGAAGGGGCCCAAACCCATGATGACACTCTTCAGGTCACTTGTTCTATTAGGCTGGAATATTGCTTCACACTAACAGCACCTTTCAAGGCAGGTGAAATTGCCGACCTAGAAAATGTACAGAGAACCTTCATGGCGCACATAACTGCATTTAACTGTATTCTTTTGTGCTTCACTGTATCATGTTCAAATTAATAAATAAATAAATAAATAAAACACCTCAATTACTGGGAGCGCTTGAGGTTCCTAAACCTGTATTCCCTGGAACACAGGAGGGAGAGATACATGATTATGTACACCTGGAAAATCCTAGAGGGACTAGTACCGAACTTGCACACGAAAATCACTCACTACGAAAGCAAAGACTTGGCAGACGATGCAAAAATCCCCCCAATGAAAAGCAGGGGTGTCACTAGCACGTTAAGAGACCTTACAATAAGTGTCAGGGGCCCGAGACTGTTCAACTGCCTCCCAGCATACATAAGGGGGATTACCAACAGACCCCTGGCTGTCTTCAAGCTGGCACTGGACAAGCACCTAAAGTCGGTTCCTGACCAGCCTGGCTGTGGCTCGTACGTTGGTTTGCGTGCAGCCAGCAGTAACAGCCTGGTTGATCAGGCTCTGATCCACCAGGAGGCCTGGTCACAGACCGGGCCGCGGGGGCGTTGACCCCCGGAACTCTCTCCAGGTAAACTCCAGGTACAGCCAGGGGTCTTGAAGACAGCCTGGGGTCTTGAAGGCAGTCAGGGGTCTATTGGTAATCCCCCTTATGTATGCTGGGAGGCAGTTGAACAGTCTCGGGCCCCTGACACTTATTGTATGGTCTCTTAACGTGCTAGTGACACCCCTGCTTTTCATTGGGGGGATGTTGCATCGTCTGCCAAGTCTTTTGCTTTCGTAGTGAGTGATTTTCGTGTGCAAGTTCGGTACTAGTCCCTCTAGGATTTTCCAGGTGTATATAATCATGTATTTCTCCCGCCTGCGTTCCAGGGAATACAGGTTCAGGAAGCGCTCCCAGTAATTGAGGTGTTTTATTTATTTATTTATGTATTTATTTATTTATTTATTTATTAATTTGAACATGATACAGTGAAGTACAAAAGAATACAGTTAAATGCAGTTATGCGCGCCGTGAAGATTCTCTGAACATTTTCTAGTTCAGCAATTTCACCTGACTTGAAAGGTGCTGTTAGTGTGAAGCAATATTCCAGCCTAGATAGAACAAGTGACCTGAAGAGTGTCATCATGGGCTTGGCCTCCCTAGTTTTGAAGGTTCTCATTGTCCATCCTGTCATTTTTCTAACAGATGCGATTGATACAATGTTATGGTCCTTGAAGGTGAGATCCTCCGACATGATCACTCCCAGGTCTATTACATTATTTTTGCACTCTATTGTGTGGTTGGAATTTGTTTTATACTCCAATATAGCTTTAATTTCATATTGTTTTCCATATCAGAATACAGTGGACCCTCGACTAGCGCTATTAAATCCGTTCCTGAGAGCTCATCGTTAGTCAAAAGTATCGTTAGTCAAGTTAATTTTCCCCATAAGAAATAATGGAAATCAAATTAATCAGTGTAGGACAACCCAAAGTATGAAAAAAAAATTGTTTTACCACATGAAATATTAATTTTAATACACACAAACTGAAGAAGACATGCACAGTTACATGACACTTACCTTTATTGAAGATCTGGTGATGATTGATGGGATGGGAGGAGGGGAGAGTGTTGATGGTGTTAGTGTTTAGAAGGGAAATCCCCTTCCATTAGGACTTGAGGTGGCAAGTCCTTTTCCGGGGTTACTTCCCTTCCCTTTAAATCTCTCAAACCAACCTTTGTTGGCCTTAAATTCACTCACATCACCACTAGTTGCTGGCATTGTTTTAATTAAATCGTCATGCAACTTCCTAGCCTTTTCACATATGATTGCTTGAGAGATGCTATCTCCTGCTATCTGTTTTTCGTTTATCCACACCAATAACAGTCTCTCAACATCTTCGAGTACTTTCGATCTCAGTTTCGAAAACATAGTTGCACCTTTGGCAAGAACAGCTTCCTTGATTGCCATTTTCTTGGCCACAATAGTAGCGATGGTTGATTGGGGTTTTGTGTACAACCTGGCCAGCTCGGAGACACGCACTCCACTTTCATACCTAGCAATGATCTCTTTCTTCATATCCATAGTAATTCTTGCCCTTTTTGCTGTAGGGTTGGCACTAGAAGATTTCTTGGGCCCATGGTGACTTATTTTGCAGGTGCAATCACTAAAAAGGCTGTGATAATATGAAATGTTCCGATTGTATGCTTGGAAGCGAGCCGCGGTGGCTGGCTGGCTTGTAAACACTGGCCAGAAGTGGACGCGTCTCAGACGGAATGAATAGTGTTGGTAGAGTTTTTTAGCGCTAGTCGAGGCAAAATTTTTGCGTTAAAAATGTATCGCTAGTCGGATTTATCGTTAATCGATGCCATCGTTGGTCGAGGGTCCACTGTAATTGAAATTTCTCCTTGAACTTCATATTGTTTTCTGCAGCCCATTTAAAGATTTGGTTGATGTCCGCCTGGAGTCTTGCAGTGTCTTCAGTGGAGGACACTTGTGCAAACTCGGGTGTCATCTGCAAAGGAAGACATGGCACCTGTGGCTTACATCCCTGTCTGTGTCAGATATAAGGATGGGAACGAGTACTGTGACTTGTGGAACAGTGCTTTTCACTGTAGCCACTTCAGACTTTACTCTGTTGACTACTACTATTTGTGTTCTATTAGGAATTTATAGTTCCATCAACCAACTTTTCCTGTTATTCCTTTATCACTCATTTTGTGCTCTGTTGCAACCATTGTCACATTTGTCAAAGGTGAGAATTATCAATCTTTGGATCATTAATGGGGGAAATAGCTGATGTGGATTTTGTTTCTTAACCCCTTCACTGCCCAGACTCTCAAAATGAAAGTACTCATTGTCCATAATTAAAAAAAAAAAAAAAAAAATTCTTTTGAATTGGTTTGAGAATCTTTTTCTGAAAGTAATGATGCCAAAAATTTGAAATGATGAAAAAAATTATGGAATTGTACAGTCACAAAGTTAGTGCCTAAATAAACACTGTAGAAATTCCGGGTGTAAAATACCATTTCCTCGATTCATTATGTCCCGGGGCTCTCCTATCTTACACTTGTCTTCCAGTTTGAATTCATCAAACAAAAAATCGAAAATTTATCCAATCTCAAATAATACCCCTCAAGGAAAAGGGTTTCCCTTTATGTTGGTGATGGGGTTT